CACCCTCTACCTATTTGAAATGCCATCCTTATCAGAAGCAAATTTCCTATAAATATTTGGGTTTATTCTTGGACTTTCTCTTTTGTTTCATTATCTATTTGTTTATTGTATCACTGTTCCATAGAAATACCATGTGAGCCACAAATACAAGCCATAGAAATTTTAAAATATTCCAAAAATCATATTAAAAAAAGGAAAAGGTGAAATTATTGTTACTGTATTTTATTTAACCCATTATAGTCAAATATCATCATTTCACCATGAAATCAACATAAAATAAGAAAAATATAAAAACTGAGATAATTTACATTGTTTCATACAAAGTCTTTGAAATGTGGTATTTTATACCAACAACACATCTTCATTTGGACTAATCGTATTTCAAATGTTTACTTGCCACATATGGCTAGTGGCTACCATTTCAGATAGCATGACATTTTTGTTAAAGCAGATCTAGAGTAGCCTTTGCTCTATAAGAGTTTGGAACTGCTACTAAAGCCTGGCTTACTAATTGGTTCGGTGAGGACTCTTCACTCCTTGTTAGAACTTCAGTCTCTCCTCAGTCTGACTATGGGTTATAGTACGGGTTATAGTCCCCTGCCATTCTTCTGTCCTCAGTAATTATACTTTGCCCAGTTTTTACAGTCTCACCTCCACGTGTCCACTTAGCATTTAGTCAACCACCAAAGAGAACTTCTGTACAGATTTCTGGAACTTTCTCTGTGAAGCTTCCTCCTTTCCAGTAGTCTGCATACTCTGTCACCTCACCTCAGCAAGATGACAGTGCTCTGCTTGGCTTTGCCTCCCTGCACCATGGTCTGGGGAGGTAGCTTCAGGCAGCATATCTGGGTGATCCCAGGGAGCATCTCACTAGTTTATCTTCTCTGTGGGATGACAGGTGTGCTGCAGGTGAGCTTGGAGGTGCTGGTCGGACTGGTACTAGTTATTTTCAGCAGTCAGAAGCAGAAGTCCTACTACAAGTTTTGGGGTTTATTAGATCTACTATTTAGTTATTTTGTAATTATGCCGATTTCTTATTGTTTTTCTTAATTTTATTTCTTATAAACTTCACTTATTTTTATTCTTTCTAGTTTATTAGAATAAATATTTAGAGCTATGAATTTTTCTTTGAGGACTCTTAGTTATTTCTCACAGGTTCTGGTATAAATTATTTTTGTGGTTGCTATTTTCTAGATAGTTGGCTCTTTTGCTTTTTTTGGTTTACTCTTTGGCCAAGAATTATTCCAGAGATTTAAAAATTTCTGAGATGGTAGAGACTTATGTTTCAGTTTTCTGGCTCAGTTATTGCCTTTTAGTTATACTACATTATAAGTAAAGTTATTGATACTCTTTATAATTTTTGAATATTTACTGAAGTTTGTAGCTTAATGTGTAATCACCGATTTCACTATTACAAGCAAGGTATTACTTTTCAGGATCTAAATTGCTGATTACTTTAAATGAATATATTTTTTTAAGATTTATTTATGCATACAAGAGCTGGGGTACAGGCCAGAGGTGTGGGGGTGAGAGAATTCACTAGAGACAGAAAGGGGAACAGAATAGACAGATCGACGGAAGTACACTGCTGAGAGGATCAGGTGAGGCAGGAGAGGTCTGCTACACCTTGTGGGTTGCTCCCTGGCTGGCCTGGCTGGGGATTGAACTTGTGCTGCAGAGGTTGCAGATAGCTTCACAGTGCTGTGCTTAACCCCTTGCACCACTGGAGAGGCCCTAAAAATAAATGTTAACAATTTGAGCATGAGAAATAAATTAAAATTTACAAAAATACGATCTATATATTGGATGTATGTGTGAGAGTGTGTATGCTTTATTTTTAAACTTTGGGTACAATATAAGATTTTATTTTAAAAATAAAATATAGAATTTTATCCTATGAATTCTGTAAATGAGATTTAGTGCTAGTGAAAAGTGTGAAAGTTACTAGCTAAGATGACCTCAGAAGTCACCTACCCCGTATAAGCATCTGTATAAATTTCTGTATGCCCTAGAGTGACCCCTGAGTAGAACTGATATCAAACTTAAAGTATTCTTTTCTTTTACTTTTTCACTTCTTTTTTCTTTTTCCCCTCTATACAATATGCCAATAAAAGAAATCTGGGTTACACAGATCCAGGCCAGGTGTGACAACAGTCTGTTATCAAAAAGTAAGAGAACATTAAACAGATTTTAATTAGTCTTAAGAAAAGCAAAGGTGAAAATGAAAATTTAATTCTGAACCTTTGTTTAAAATGCATTTTTCTATCTCTACGGTAGGGAGTGAATTTTAATTAGCTTGATTCTCACTCTTGGTCATGCATTTGTAATCTTTGTTCACACTTTGAGACAGAAAAATTTGATGAAAGAAATCAGACAATAATGGAAATCTTGTCTGAGCAGAACAAATTGGAACTATCAAATATATTGCAGGATGACTGGTATGCTGCCGCTGAGAAGAAAAAACATAAAAGGGCTGGTGACTCCAAAAAAAAAGCCCCTCTCTCCAAAATGTGATGGGTCAGCCTCACACAGTCTTGTTCTGCAAGGAGAGAAAGAATCCCAGAGTAATAACCGCTTTAGTAACAGGCAGACCTGCTTGAGTTGAACCTTGCCTCTAACCCTTTTTGGGAGACCTCTTTATTCCTCTGATCCTCAATTTCCTCCTCTGTAAAATGGGGTAATAATATCAACTGTGTAGCCTTGTGGGAATGACAAATGAATTATGTGAAAGTGCCCAACATTTAACAGGAGCTCAGAAAACTCCTAAGAGGAGAATATCAGAGGAGGATCTGTGACTGGACCGAAGAATTCCAGCTTATTTCCTCTTGAGGAAAACAGAGGGTAGAAGCCAGACTAGTGGGGCTGAGGGGCGGGGTTGTCCTCACCTTTTCCTCAGTCTTCTGGGACTTCAAACAATCAGGAGCTTTTGCATAGGAGTCCATTCTGGAGCCTAATCTGTAGTTCTGAAAGCCTGGAGACACCAGGGCTACCCTGTAGGGCAGCGAAAAAACTCTTGAGGTCTTTCAGGTAAGCACAGTACACCAATAAGGAAATGAGTTAGCAGTTTCCCTGCCAGTAAGTATGTCAAAATCACAAAAGGGGTGTGTATGTATGTGTGTGTGTGGTGTATGAAGATACTGTATAAGTATCTTTTCATTTTCACCTTTGCTTTTCTTAAGACTAATTAAAATCTGTTTAATGTTCTCTCACTTTTTTTTAAAGATTTATTTATGCATACAAGAGCTGGGGTACAGGCCAGAGATGCAGGTGTGTGTGTGTGTGTGTGTGTGTGTGTGTGTGTGTGTGTGTGTGTGTGTTTGAGAGAGAGAGAGAGAGAGAGGATCCACCAAAGACAGAGTGGGGAACAGAACAGCAGATGGACTGAAATACTGAAATGCACTGTTGAGGGGAGCAGCAGGTGAGACAGAAAGGGTCTGCTGAGCTATGTGGGTTGCTCCCTGGCCAGCTAGGGATTGAACTCCTGCTGCAGAGGCTGCGGATTGCTTCATAGTGCAGTGCTTAACCCCTTGCGCCACCAGGGAGGCCCTTCTCTCACTTTTTGATAACAGACTGGTATCACTATATAAAGATACTATATACTTTTCCATAGGTTGCTATGGAAAAGTGTCAGAGAGGGCCAAGACAGTTTTTGGCCTTGTACTTATAATTTAACAGAGAAAATAACTAGAGCCACATGCAGGGCTAATTAAAAAGATCCTTGGGTCATCCAGTTTTTTTATTTTCCTGGACAGTGTCAAAATCAAATATTCTCTGAGATCTTCAAGACCACGTATCCAGGGTTCAGTTTAGAAAATAAAGTTCACATTTTCCTAGTGCATCCTTCAGGCCTTGCTTCCTGAGCACATGTTGGGCTCCCACAATTACCACCTTCTGGGAGTGTGGCCTTAGAGTACTTGGCAATGTCTGGAAACATTTTGGTGGTGCCAGTGCAGATGGCGGTATCCATAGGTGTTAAATATCCTACAATTCATAGAACTACCTCACCCTTCCCCCCACCATTCCCTCTGATTTTGGAATTAGCTGAAAAATGGGCCCCCTGCATGGTTTTCCCTCTCTGAAGGGAGGGGTAAATGTCCTAATACTTAATGTCATTTTCACATCCCTGTGAGGATGACCTGGCAGTTTTTTCCTGCAGTACTTGGAGTCCTGGTCTCGGCTCCCTCCCTCCCTCCAGGGGATTCTCTTCCCACCTGGGGCTACCTGGCTGTTCCTAGCATCCACATCCATTTACATATCCCCATTAAAGAGTTCTCCTTGGTAGCTGGAGAGGGCAGGAGCACTGGTGTGAAACTGAAAGCTGGGACACGCTGTGATTTTGCAGGAAGGGGAGAAAAGATGGGGCCCAGAAAACCAGGAGGATATGGGGGAAGCTTTTATGGGGACCTTATTAGCCCCTAGCCGTGACTTCCTGAAGCAGCAGCTCCAGACCTCACACAGTCCAAACATTCACTGCGAACACCCCCAGGGCCCCTAAGCAGGGCCCCATGGAATCAAGCACTTACTGGCAACTTCCGGGCAGTTCACCCAGCTGGCTGGTGACAGGGGTGGGCGCCCTTGTCCAGCTGCTCCCAAACTAGTGGTGGCCTAATCTTTGAAAGCACCCCAGGGTGATTGGGGGTGTGGGGGCAGTCAGAGTGGGCAGCGCATCTTTCCCAATCTCAGAGCAGGATTCCAAGTCCCAGGAGTGCACTCCAGCTTCCTCTGGGCTGTGCCCCGGTGGGTAGGTGAGTCTGGGCAGAGACCTCCTGGCTCTGGCTCTGCAGCTGCAGGGAAGGTGGAGCCACTGGTCAAAACTCAGCCAAGATCCAATTTCCTGGGCAGTGTCTGAGCTGAGTCAAAATCCGCCTGCCTTGGGCTGGGTATGCAGCAGTGCAACTGAGCACTCTGCTGTGGTTAATGATTAATTACTGATCACCCCGCCTCCACTAGTTCCTGAGAGGGTGCTCCTGGTGGGTGGGCCCTGCAGGGAGTGCCTGGCAGCCCGGAGGCTTGCTGAGGGCTAAGACAGTTCTCACCCAGCGCAGAGACTGGTCAGCGTGCCTGGGCCGAGGGTTTCACAGGGGAAGATAAGAACCTCTTTCCTCCTTTAGCCCTCTTCCTGAATCACTCAGACACTCACACACCAAAACTCCACCCAGGCGCCTCTGGGGCCTCTGCTATTTGGGCTACTCCAGGAAGTTTCCATGAAAGCACCTGAAAGAGGAATTTACTTTTTCCAGGTGAGCTCCAGAGAGAGAAAAGCCTGCGCGCACTCCGGTGAGTTGCAGTCACAAACTTTGGATTCTGCAGGAAGGAGGTAGGGAAAGTTGAGAAGGTCTTTTGGACCTGGTGGCGTGGCTCCCTTCCTCATGGCTTCACAAGGCAGCCCGGGCTATGACTGCTCCCATATCATCGATCACAGCCACGTCCCCCAGTTCGAGGTGAAAACATGGATCAAAATCACCCTCATCCTTGTGTACCTGCTCATCTTCGTGGTAGGTATCCTGGGGAACAGTGTCACCATTCGGGTCACCCAGGTGCTGCAGAAGAAAGGCTACTTGCAGAAGGAGGTGACAGATCACATCATAAGCCTAGCTTGCTCGGATATCTTGGTCTTCCTCGTTGGCATGCCCATGGAGTTCTATAGCATCATCTGGAACCCCCTGACAACCCCGAGCTATACCATGTCCTGTAAGCTTCACACTTTCCTCTTTGAAGCCTGCAGCTATGCCACGCTGCTGCATGTGCTGACACTCAGCTTCGAGCGCTATGTGGCCATCTGCCACCCTTTCAAATACAAGGCCATATCGGGGCCCGGCAAGGTGAAGCTGCTGATTGGCTTCGTCTGGGTCACATCTGTCCTGGTGGCACTGCCTTTGCTTTTTGCCATGGGCGTAGAGTACCCCCTCTTGAGAGTGCCTACTCAACACCGGTACACCTGCAATCACTCCCGCACCCGACACCATGAGGAACCGGAAAAATCCAACATGTCCATCTGTACCAACCTCTCCGACCGCTGGACCGTGTTTCAGTCCAGCATCTTCAGTGCCTTTGTCATCTATCTCGTGGTCCTGGTCTGCGTGGCCTTCATGTGTTGGAACATGATGCAGGTGCTCAGGAAGAGCAAGCAGGGAACAGTGACCGGGATGGGGCTGCAGCAGCAGCTGAGGAAGGCGGAGAGCACCGAGAGCAGGACCGCCCGGAGGCAGACCATCCTCTTCCTGAGTGAGTGCTGGGTGGGGGGCTGCCTTCGGGCAGCCCCTGCCCCACCTTGCACCTGACTGGGGTTCTCTTAACTAGGGTCTTGTCTTGCAAGTGTAAACTTAAGTTTGTTGAGGCTGAAGAGGCTTTGATTGATCTCAGTCTCTGGATGTTTCTCCTGTGCTTGGGGATTTGTGTTATGATGAAATGAGCACTGGAGGAGGCGTCAGAATGCCAGGGTGTATTCCAGAGCCAACACCTCTGTGAGTTCTGGATTCCCACAAATTATCTTGGGTAAAAGAGAAATAATGATACTGAGAAATCGACGGTCAAATTGGGTCAAATTAGGTCAAAAGAGGTGAAAGTTTTTTGAGAAGGCCCAAGTTCTGCGGAGAGAAAAAAGGCTGATTCTTATTTTATCCTCTCTTTATCTTAGAGGCCCTTCCTCAGGCAATTAGATTTTGTTGGTATTTTTCTGCTCCTTTGGAGAAGCAAGGCTGTCAGGAACACAGGGTCTCTGGGCTGCTATTTTACACACACCTCTCCTGGCAGTGTCTCCAATGCAGCCTTAAGAAGTTGGAGCTTTCAGACCAGCATCCCCAGGTAGTGCTAGAGTTTCCTCTGTGTAGGTCAGTTTCCCACCTGAGCGGAGAAATGTGGCAGGGCCAGCAGCCTGCTGATCTGATTGGAAAAATCTGGTTTCACAAACTACTGGGACCTGATTGATCATTCAAAATATCCAGTTCTCAGGCAGAGAAAGGTGTTTGCTTTCCAACTCCTGTTGTAATGCAGGTATTTCCATCAGGTCCTTCTGTGTATCAAAAGGGAAATGAGGACCCCAAACCTTTGGAAGAGGGAGCTAGTGGCTGCCCCTGGGGAGATGGGACTTTAAGGGAGACACATCAAATATATGTGAGGAAAGGGTTTGAAAAGTATTGGTTAGAAGAAAGAAAAAAGCTGCTGTTAAGAGTGTGTGAGTTAACAATTTTGTGAGTTTAACAAATATTTCCCAATCTTCCTCCCCTTTCCTGTTTGGGTCAGGAGAGGAAATACATCATGGTGCTATTTGTTCTGGTGTGGGAAACACGAATAACAGGTTCCAGGTCCTGGCGTTAGATAGGAGAGAAGATTGGAAGACACTCAAGGAGAGGTGGGGAAAACCAAGTCTTGTCCCGGCTTTCTGGGGTGTTCCTACAGCTGACTTGGATTTGCTAGGTGCAAAAATGAGAGGAAAGATTTTGCAATTTGGGGATGTCTGCTTTGCCTCAGACGCTTTGTGAGGTGATTTATATTTCCATTTTTGGCAAAGAGGAGTTTGAAGCTTAGAGAAGTCCTAGTTCAAATGCACAAAGTACACTTCCCAGATTCCAACCGAGAAATGAGTAGTTGCCCATAACTTTCACAGACTTGCGGTGAAGGCAAAATAAAACAAACAAGGACTTTGACAGGGGAACGTCTACCTAGATTTCTGCGTCCTGAGGTCAGCCTTTCTGGGAGTTGAAGTGAGAGTATACCAGGTAGTGTCTGGGGCCTTAGGAAGGACACCCAACCCATCTCAATTCCCCATGCCCCCATTGCTATGTGGAATATTCCAGGAGTTCCAGGAAGGAACAGACATTGCCTTTGCTGGACCATTGGTTTATAGGTTAATTCTCCCTTAAGCATATCTTAAATTCAGCAATTTATACTTTAGAGTGAATTTCTTTCTTCTTCTTTTTTTTTTTGTACAAGTCACCGATCTTAGTGGCTAAGAATTAGGGAGTAGACAAAGATTATGAAGTATCTTCAACTACCTCCCACTCTGATTTAGAAATTAAGGCTGCGTCTTTTGACCAAAGAAAAGTAGTTGATTTCTCTTTGTTCTCTACTTATTCCTCCCCATCTTTCTTCTGATTAAATGTCCCTTCTCTTCCCAATGGATATTGTTTCAAGTCAAAGTCATTTTGAAGCATGAAATCTGAATGCCACAGATTTTATTTAGAGATGGATAGGAACTTGGAGATTGTCCCATCCAATTAGTGATCACCTGGTATGCGTTTGTTCTTGTGGCTGTTTTCACTGTTTCTTTCTTGTTTTCTCCCTCTTTCTTACAACTAGTATTAATCACCCACTGTGTTCCCTGCCTAAAGAGTGTTAGATGAGGGCCTCCCTAGTGGCGCAGGCAGTTGAGCACAACGCTGTGAAGCTGTCCGCAGCCTCTGCCACATGGGTTCAACTCCCGGAGGGCCAGGGAGATACCCACATGGCTTGGCAGACCTCTCCTCTCTCGCCCGTTGCTCCCCTCAGCAGTGTTTTCAGTCTGTCCGCCTGCTCTGTTTCTGGTGAATTCTCTCACCCTCCTGTGCCTCTGACTGCACCCCAGTTCTTGTATAAATAAATAAATCTTTTAAAAAAGAGTGTTAGATGACACTGATTTGCTCAATGTGTGATGTCTTGGGGAATTTGTTTGTGCTTAGCCCATTTCCTCTCCAGTATGTTTTTAAAGCAGTTCTTGCAAATGCCTCCCTCTCCCAATGAATTTCCAAGACTATTTAAAAAGAGGAGCCTCACTAATTAACTCATGTTAGGAAATAAATTAATGGAGTGAAGAGGAAGAAATCATGGCCAGCATCCATCAGATAATGCAATGCAGTTTACTTTGTAGGTTTCATGAAACTCATGCTTTGGGGCATTTTTAACCCAGGACAAGTGAATATGTAAATTGTTTACAAAGTGCTGAATTTAATATAGTAACTTAGCTATCTTTTTAGTATTTCAGTTAACAGATGTAGTAAATTAAAACAAACATTTGGTCATTTCAAACATATTTTGCATTTAACATGAAGTATAAATGATGACATAGCACAGGATGTCTATAGCTCCTGAGGCAATGGAAAAAACAAAGCATTTCCCCCCCTTGTTAAAAATGCTAACTTTGCATAACAGAAACATAATTTATAAATCTACCCAAGATGAGGGAGCTTATGTAGAAAATATTAATTTTCCATTCTGCAGCTTTTGCTAATATGCCTCAACCTAGCCAGTGCTGGGCTGGTGAATAATGAAAGCATGTTGGGAACTTTGGGAGAGACAGAGGTGCTGCAACTATTTTCAAGTAATTTGTAGGAGAAAACAATAATGTCAAAGTGTACATTCCTGGCAACATGAATGTCTCCTTTTGCTTCCTGTTAACTCAGTGAGAAATCAGTACAAGACTTACTTCCTTCAGCAAGTTTGTGACTAATTTGGCCAGGTAATACTGTTTTGGTCTGGATTTCAGCCTCTTGCAGAGAACAGGCATGAGTGCATTTGACTCTATTCCTTAAAAGTTAAGAAACTATGAAATGATCCTTTGTTTCCAGAGGTCTTCTTTAGATGTTCCATATTATCTCTCTGAATTCTCACTTGGAGTCATTCTCATTGCATATGGCATCCCAGTCATGAACACCTATGTTTGTGATTATTCCACATGTGACCTGCTGTCAAATGTCACCTCAAAATGGAATAGCAAGGGTATTTTTAAAAAAGTGCAGTTTTAATTTGTAGCTTTCAAGAGCATAAAAAGACTGGGACTATGTTTCATCTACCTCTTAGTGATCTGTAAAGTAGTAATTGGCTTTCAACGATAATTGAAAAAAAAAAAAAGCCTCACAGATAATTCTGAAATCACAATATTAAAGAGACTGTATAGAATATTCAGGACGGCTTAATAATTACACTATTGAATTCCAATCTTCTGTCTTGAGTTAGATGGAAAGGAAGAGAGTTGCACATGGTGGTAGAAATTGTAGATGAACTTGGATTTCTTAAGGGAGACCTAGCTTGCATGGACATCATCTATCACATGTATTTAGATGGAAAAAAAGACAGAATTTTTGCTGCATGCACTACTTCAAAAAAGAAGGTTGAAGTATATTTCGATACTTGTGGATTGAGTCCTGGAGAAGCAGAAAGGAGATCAGAATTACGTCTTTTGGGTTTTAGAACCCAGATTTAGTGGTCTAAGTCCTATCATGTGTGTGAGAGAGAAACAGAAAGTTGAGATGTTGACAATGTTCTTTAGCTGAAGAAAATGAGTACCTGGAAAGAATTCAAAGTTAGTTCCTTAAAATGGAACTCAAAATTTCATGTGAAATGAGGTTTGATTAGGACTTCATCGTGAAAATTAGGAAGAGATCTGTGTTATATTTTATGAACTTAGGTCATTATTATAGCTGTATGTTAATTCTTATAATAACTCTTCAGAGTGAAAAAAATGTGGCTTTTCTGAGGGCATAATTTTTCTGATAAAGCTGTATGATAGCCTCTGTGTTTGATTTTCTGAGCAAGATTGGGCTTTTCCCCACAGGTTTCTCTTAATTCTTTGCTGTTTAAATCACCCTTAGTGTAGCACCTATGGTGGCTTCATCCTTGTCAGTTTTCTTTCTTTCAGGATTAACTGGTTTAATTACTACAAACTGTCATTTGTCAGTGGTTTGGCATTTGATTCATGTTTCTCTAGCTCCCCTTTAGAGATTTCTTGAAATTCTGTGAGCCATATCCCCCAAATATAATTAATTTTAAAATCACCCCCTATACCCTAGTGTATATCAACTGATTACATGAAAATGGGTATCTGAAAATGCTTTTGAAGTATGAAAAGAACTTTTTTTAATAGTTATTTTCTTCACTAGCTTAAAAACTGGTCTTGCCATTAATTTCTTAGCAAAGACCTATCTGTGAAGTAGTGGGATATGACAACCTGGTTTTCCAGGGAAATGCCATTAAAATTAAATTAGTGAATTTTTAGTGTAAGATATTATTTTGACTCAAATATTTGGGTATTTTAGGGAGAATTTTGCTTCAAGCATTCAGACTATTGCCTCTATTTTCTTTTTTTTTTTTTCTTTAAATGGAGAAAATTTTTTTGTGAGTTTTTTTAAAAGATTTATTTATTTATGCACAGAAAAGCTGGGGTACAGGCTAGAGGTGTGGGAGGTGAGAGGATTCACCAGAGACAGAGTGGGGTACAGAACAGGTGGAATGACTGAAATACACTGCTGAGG